TTTCTCTTCCTGAAACAGTCCTCTCTCCAGTGCTCTGTTCTTGTTGTAGCTCAATCTGATGCTGTGTTTGTATCTGCTGCTTTGGGCATGTTTAAATAAGCCGACACTACTACTTTCAAAAATATTTTAGATATCCTGAAGATACAGTGGGTTCATCTTTCCTTGTTATATTTTTCCTCTGTTCCTTCACATCTTCCTATTCTTTGATGATGATTGTGGTTTGCTGTTTTTTGGTAAGAGTGATATAGCTATTCCTTTGGTGGCATCAGTAGATACCCATTCCTTATACGTACATGGATTGGTATATATTTTCTCAAGGTGACTGTTTTTCTTTCAGTTTCCCCTGCACCTGCAAGTTAATAATTAATTGTTATGAACTGGAGGCAGGCTGGCTTCTTATTCTGGACTCCTCTTGGAGGCCTTTTGAGCCAAAGAGGGTGGGCAGCTGAAAGCTGAAATTAATGCTTTTAGGATCTGTATTCCTGATGTGTCTGTCCTAAGCAAGGACTTCATATGTTACCAGGACAGTAATTATTTTGTTCCCTTTGTTCTGCTTCATGTATCACTCAGGGTCTTGTCTGTATGTCTTTGACTCAGAGTGTATGCAACGTCTCAGGCAATTCTTGAATGTTCAAACAGGTCATCGCTAAACAAAGCAGCAAAAGATTTGTGAAATATAGTATGTCACTTGTGAAAGCCTACTTTAAGACCTACTGAATTTAAGAAAAGATAAAGACAGTAACTTCTGTTAGCTTTGGGCCTTTTATTTTTACACCACTAACTGCTTGGTTAGATTTCTAAGAGCTTTAACAGAAAATAAAAGCCCCTTTTACTACCTCTATATTTGATGCCATTAAAAAGGTAAGGTTCTGTAGTTTCCTCGCTATGCTGACTGCATACATCTTCACTCAGCAAATTGGCACAGAATTCTTTACTTTTATTTTTTTACTCTTTTTTTTTCTTTTTTTTTTCTTTTAGAGTGAGCTCCACAGTCACTCATGTCTAGGTATTTCAAGACCAATGGTATGTGAACACTTCATTGCTGAGAGCTTTTAGTGTGTAATCACGTTGAGTTGGCTTGGGTGCTCTTAGCCATTGCAGCGCTGATTTCAGTGCAAGCCAGCAATCTAAATATTTGTTCTGATTTTCAGAAGGGCCCTACAGTCCAGACTGAACTCTTTTTTTCTTGCAGCTATACTGCTCTCAGCTACTTAGCTGAGGGCTAAGACAGGTACCTCTAGCCCGGCTTCAGTCTCAGCAAACAGCAGTGTAAGCAAGACTTTCAAACGATGTTCATGAATCTGCAGTCACATCATTTGACCATTTTTAGGATTAAGTGCAAACCAGTTACTTAGATTTACTAAAATGCAAGTGCAGCGACCAACCCAGTATTACTTAGGAAAAAATATATTTTTGATAAATTCAAATTCATAGTGTTGTTTGGGTAGCTTTCCCACTCCTTTAGTAATACTGATTTTGAAAGGTCTTTTCAGTAGACCTTGAACAGCAATAACAAACAAGATGACATTTACCATCCTAACTTTTCTTTGAGTATGTGCCTGTTTGTTTTCTGACTGCAACCTCTTTGAACTTCTACACTGCTCTGCTGCTTTCCGTGTAGCCAGGGAAAGTGTCTGTGTGAGTGTTCAGCTACAGAGCCCTGAATGATGTGGTTGTTTTGCTGGTGTTTGCCATCAATGCAACAAGAAACTGAGCAGAGATGGTCAAATTTGCAAAGCAGATTCTCAGGCACAGCATAGAATTTTTTAAAAGATGAGAGGAGGGAATGGTTAAAAACAAACAACCGTACCTTCATCCTTTCTGTTAGTTTCCGGGTTTTTCTGATATAATCAGGAGGAAATGAAATTTCAGGTTGACAGTTTCTCTTTAAAATCCTTTAAAATGCCCTATGCATCAGTGCTGAATCCTTTAAAATGCCCTATGCATCAGTGCTGTATTTTTGTCTTTTTTTTTTTTTTTTTTTTTTTTTTTAAAGAGCAATATCTATTAATAGATCTGTGTAATAATTGCTTTCTGGTTTATGCTTATGTTTTATCACAAAACCATTCAGGAGGACTTGTGGTAAAAATTGTGAGGTTTATATAATTGCAACTAGCAGCAGAGCTTTGCTTCAGGGCCTTCTACAATATCAAAATCTGCAAGAGCAAAAAATAATGATGTAACTCCAACAATTTGTTCTGGGGGCTGGGTGATCTTGTTTGACCCAGCAAGACACTCTTTGGCAAGCAGCATAGCTTTGAATCAGAGCTCCTTGTGATTAATACAGCGCTGTCACTGGCCTGTATTGCAGTGATCTTTTGATCTTATTCACGTATTTTCAGTGGGATGTGATAATTACATTAAAATGGTATACGGAAATATTTTAACCTTTTTTTTTTTTTTCTTTTTTTTTTTAGTGGTGTTACCTGGAGTTACATTTGGGCAATAGTTCCAATGTAATATAGTGGAAAATTACCACAGTGGCAAAGCAGCAAGTTTACCCTGTGCCATGAGACTTCAAGTAAACTAGAACTCTTTACAGTTTAGGAGAGCTGCCAGCCACCCTGAAATTACCATTTTAATTGGATTGATCATAAACACTTTGCTCTGGCTGTAATACTAGACCTAGGAGATGCAATCTATTTAGCCATAGTTTAGGGAAAGGGTGACCTTTCAGCTGGCTTGTTATAACTGAAAGGTTGCTTACTCTTCTGGCTGGAGCTTGGTGCATGGGAATGCAATGTGAATTTGTGGTATTAGAAACGGTGCTTTTACCTAAATATGTAACTCTTGTTGGTAAATACACATTTATCAGTTCTTACTACTATTATTAAATCATATTCTTATTATAATATATTTAAAATGCATCAATTTGGAAATTTTTTATTACAGTTAGGGACAACAAAAATGGCTGATGCACACAAAAAACACAACTCGCTTTTAAAGGAATAAAGTGCTGTGTCTTAAAATAGAGAGTATCTTCTGGCCTCAACATTTCCAGAGCCAGTTCTCTTTCCTCTGAACGATGCTGTTTTAAAATTGCCAGCAGCCTAAACATTATATAAGACCTTTTTGGCCTGCTGGCATGCCCATCTCCTTTTACCATGCTCTTTGCTGCCTGTGGTCTTCATCAGCTCACAATGGAGAGCCCAAGCTGTTCCTCTCAGTCTAATTAACCCCAGTCCATTACTGGCATGTTTGGTGTTATACTTGCAACCTTTTCGTCTTTTGTTATTTAAATGAGTAACCTGAATTCAGTCTTTCCTTCCTATCAGCTCTCTGAGACAACACTGCACTAGTCATTATAACAACTTGCTTTCAAATCTTTTCCCTTTTGTGGCTGACCTTTAGTAGGAAGAATTCTGTGCTTTTTACCTATAATTTTGGTAATTTTAATCCAATGTTTTTTTTTACTTAAGTGGAAACAGTCATAGTTAAAATGCAGAATGCAATTTTGGCATCTCTGTTCAGCATTCTTTGTAAATAAAAACCTAGTAGAGGCTTAAGCGATGGAAAATCTTAAAGGCAAAAAATGAACGCTTTCCTACCTTATTCAATAGCTTTCTAAGGTCTGTTGATTTAAGAGGAAGTCTGCAAACAGAAGATGTGTCATCCTGACAGTTCTAGACTAGTTTTCCCTTTTGTTCCTATAAATGGTTATTCTGTACTTAGTGGTTTTTCTTTTTAAATGAAAAAAAAAAAAAAAAAAAAGATTTCATGGTGGAAAGGTGGAAAATGTTGAAGATTTCTAGTATTGACCAGTAGGAATAACAAGTGCACAAAAATATTTAGGCTCTTCAAATTCAAGCATTGAACTATCCTTTTAAATGTTCTTTCTTTCTTCTAAAATACAATGCAAGTCAACAATACGTTATTGACATCGAAGCTTAGACCATAACTTGGACTGTGTGGACACCATAATTGTGATTGATCATGTACTGCAGCAAGCTTTCTTCTTGGATTTGAGTTCAGAGACAGAGAGAGTAAATACAACCTTCTACTTTCTTTACTGACCAAAACACAGTGTAAAGTTCTGGGAAAGAATCAAGAGCATCAGGCATGCTGATCCCACGATTCCCCAAATATTTCTGCCAGCAAGAGGTCTCAGAGCTGTGTGGGGATGCCATGGATGAGAACAAAGGAGAGACTCTGCTTCTGGGTACAAAGCTGTCACAATGGATTGTCATCATGGCTTCAAGAAACAATTATATATTATGTGTCAGATGAGCAGACTGTTGTGCAGAGGGTTAACTGTGTCTTCCAAAAAGTTATACAGCGTCTGGAAAATTTATTGGATGAGTTCCCTCTGATTGCTAATTGCGTACACTATTAAGCCATAATTTTCTTTCCTTTCTCATTTGCTTTATGCTTCAAGGTAAAAGATGGAACACGAGACTATGACAAATTCTCTTCTGGGATTATGTAGTGGGGCTTGACTTTGATCTTCCTTTTCTCTTGCCCTTGGAGACCAAAGGCATTTTTGCATATGGCAAATGAACAAAACTTTGGTGCTCAGAACTGCTGTGCTGATCAGAGAGAAGTTTCCTGGAGGGTCTGGGTTCTGCATTATTGAAATATTAAAAAGTTTCTTCCTTTTTTGTGTGGTCATTACCCACATGGGAACTGGTGAGTGGGTAATATAGGAGCTGCCAGTAATTTATGAAAGCTGGGCTTTCCTGCTAACTGCTTATGTCGTTGGCTAGCGAATTAAGATTATATTGGCCACAGATTTCAAAGCGAAGTCTATTAGGGAAGCAAATCAGAACTGTTGATATCTAAGACTCCATGTTGAGACCCTGTGCTGTGGTTACTTTGAGAATCTCCCCAAAGCAAAGTCAGTATCAGGCTTTGCTGACTCAATGGTACAAAAAGAGCGGAGCTGAGCTATGTGCATTAGAGAGAAGATGAATTAAGGGCTCTTCTGCAGTGTGGTTAGGTTACTGAAACTTCTGTATATACCTGGTTTCTTGGAACTGCTAAATTTATCCTGTTCTTGGCAGGTTGTATTAACCCTCCTTGAGAGCTGTCCCGTTGTAGCCTACCTGCTTCTGAAACCTCAGCTACGTGTCTGCAGGATGCTGTGGGGTGCAGCTGTGAATGTGCTGGTTGCACGGAGCAGACCATCACAATGGCTGTAAGATGCAGACCAGATGGTGGTAAGCACACCACAGAAATTGGAGGGGTGTGTGTGTGAGGAGAGCAGGGATGGACATCTACACATGGGAGTGAACAATATAGGGTTTGATCCACTACAAACTACCAAAGATTCTTTTAATCGTTTGTCTTGAAGATTTTCTTGTAACTGAGTGAATAGGGGTATATCTAGGAAAAAATAGGGCTTTTATTTCACTGCAAGCTTGCTCTGTGCAGCCTTCTTCATTTCCCTGAGCCAGTGTTCATCCATAGTTATTTTTTTTCTCACTTTCTATCTAGGGGAGAGGAAGGGAAAGGCAGCCTGCAGATGCTTTTTATTATACATATTACATTTAGGCAATGAGACCTTGAATTCACTGAAAGCTGTGAATGCTATCATGATGACAATAAAGCATATAGTCTCATTTGTAATAGGCAATGCATAGATGGTACTTTTTTCAGTTTGCTTCTGAAGAAGGTCCCCAAAATTGTATATGCTCTGTTGTATATAAGGCAACTACTGGTACCACTTTTGATCATATATATATGTATATTAATTTCCCATCATCTTCTCTCCACAGATTTCTTATTTTCTTTCTGTTATCTTCATTTTATCTTTTGGAGTGGTAGTGTGTTTTACCAAGAAGAATGGCTCTTATAATCACGGATATCACCTTTTCATACACTTCAGATAGGCTGTCAGATGTAAAAACTTTTTCTTAGGCAGCAGTGGAAAAAAACCAATTTGTTAAAAATAGCTTGTATTTTGACTAAAAAAGGACACGAACATATGAGTTATCCTGCCTCCCCAAAATAAAACCTCTTCCTATTATTATATTAAGAAAATTGTTAGGTCCAACAGCTTCACAGAGATACATTTTGCTTTTCAATGCATATTTCACTCCGTGATCCAATTATTACTGAAAGTTTCAGAGGCAAAATTAATTAGCAGTCTGCCATAGTTCTCCAGACTCCTGGAGTTCCAGTAATGACTCGATTTTTGTAGAACTGTGCTTATTACATGCAATAGGCAAGTCTGGACATAACAACTTACTCTGTGAAGCTTCTTAAAACTTATTACTATTATCAGCATCCTCTCTGCAACTGCAGACTTACCAGATGTTGGGACTGTAAGCACAGAATGCAGAATTCAAGTTATACCTTATTGTCTGGAAAAAGGTCCTAAGATTTTCACCCATCTCCAGCAATTATCAAAAATTATTATGGACATTTTTCAGGTTAAATAAAAACTAGCAACGAGGGGAAGTCCATACCTGAAGCACTTGTTAATAATTAATTTTCATATTTGGCAGCTTAGATCTGCAGAGTCCCTCCAACTTTTCATACGTTAAGGAAAATAACAATACGATTTTTTCTGCTTAGATATGCAATAGTTTTGGACTTCTTAGGTCAGATCTTCAGATCCTATCATTGTGAATGTTGTAAAATTGATCCACATTTGCTGAGGCTCTAATTCCGTTTCTGAACTGGGGCATGATGATTGAAAAATCCTCTTTCCAAAGAATATTAGCTTGGGCTTTTTCTGAGGAGTCTGGGTTCTTCTTTTGGCCATGCTGAGCCCTGACACTTTGACCAAAACAGGAAGTGGACATTTATTTGAAAGAAGTGGCTTTTAATCTTCGGTATCATAATACATGTGTTGCATTTGCAAAATGTTTGTAGCTCCATGGAACATCTAGACATTTAGTGCATGCTAAATAAGTGGGGGGGGGAAAAAAAAAAAGCACTAGAAAATAAAAACAATAAGCACTTTATCTTAGCCTAAATCTTCTGAGTCAAAATACAACGTTTTTAAGTGCTTATGTGAAGTCTTAGTTTTTAAGGCTTTGTGCAATAACCCTGGATTACAATCTGTTATTTTTTCAGTTGCTTAGTGAGAAATAACAATGCACCATAAAAAATATGATAATAGCTATATATTATTGCTTCTTTTGTTGTATTAATTAAATTAATCAAAAGCATCTATCAGTGTGTCCATTGCCTAATATGATTAGCCGCATGAATTTAGAATAGCAAATGGATCTGAGATGAAAATGTGTTTCTGAGCTGTGGTTTACAAATTGACTCAATGTATGTATATCCTAAGAAAACCCAATCTGTTATGTCTCATTTAATGCAAACTGCTGTGTACTTTGTGTTCAACATAAACTCAGAATTCACTTATCTGGAACATAGTATTTTGTTTTTGCATCACTTCAGTGGTGTATAAGCATATTTCAGTTAAAGCAGGACAACATATGTTTGTGTTGTACAGGTGGGGTGTTAAAATCTTCTGCATGATAATCCTTTGAACTTTTACTGCCCTAGTACTTTTCTCAGTGCTAGGTGTAGCAACATTTGCATGCTATTTTGTTGCTTAGAGGTAGGCATCTAGTGCCTATTTGTGTGCTGTGCTGTATCCCATTGAAGCTTCTGCTGCTGATCCAGGAGGGCGGAGATCTGCCCTGTGTCTTACATCACAACTGATGGCTGGGTGCAGATGACTCAGGTATGCCACACCACCTAAAATTACACTGAATCCCTATCCAGTGTATCCAGTGTCCAAATCCAGTGTAATTCAACCTAGAAATTCTGTGATTCTGTGATTCTGTAATTCAGACAATTTCAATCCCATCCTGCAGGTGTACACATGCACACAGACATTCTCTTATACAGCTTGCAGAGAGACAAAGTGTGATTCATTTTGAACAGTGCAGGTTCAAATATGTTTCTATGATTTACTCATTTAAACTGGACCATTACTAGAAGTCACCATTACATAGAAGCTTTAGCAGTGGTTTCTAGTTGCTTAAAATCATTATGTTGTTCTTGTGCATTTGAATTTTTTTTTAGTCCTGGTGCAGATGAGATGTCTGGGAAGCCAGCTGTTTTGTCTTTTGAGCATCATGGTGGACTGAAGAGCCTTTCTTCCCCTTGCACAAAAGCAGTTCCCGGGGAAGGATAAAATAAACCCTTATATCTCTTTCTGATGTTGTCTTGACAGGCATTTCTGAAACTATGCACAAATAAAATTTACTTGTACATATCCTGATGACTTTTTTGAACCTAATTTTCCAGTTCAACCACCTTCAGGTAATATTTTCTGATGATGATGATAAGGTAAAGAGAAGGGATATTCTCAAGCTCACAGTTAGGTGTTCATCTATCTATTTTGTTTCTGTGACTCTGCTATAATTATCTAGGAGTCCTTGTATTCCATCCTGTTACAACATTACTGTTTTAATAGGTGGCCTGAACTGAAAGGATTTCAGGCATCTGAGCATGGTGGCCGAAATACTAGTTTCCATCTTTACTGTAGTGACCTGTCTTCAATTTTTGTGTCCTCCTGTGACTTTTTTCACAAGTTCCTCCACTGTCATTATTATTCCAGCAGAGGCAATATTGTTAATAATATTGAGATAATATATAAAGAATATTATATATATATATATATATATGTATATATATAAAATTAACATTATATATTAATTTTATAACAGTACATAGTATATAATATATGATATATAAATAATATAATATATAAATAAATATAATATATAAAATAATATAAACATGATATATATATTATATATAATAGATCTATTCATCTTTGCCATCTGGTTTTTAATTCTTGCAAAATAATATATATTTTCTGTCTGTCTTCTCCACTGAGGAATGCAGAAGTGGAAAATGAAATGTGGAGGCTGTACTCTGACATTTGCTGCTATATTACAGGACTATGATCTCTCAGTGTAACAGGTGTTCTTTTTGACAGGAATCTTTTCAAATTGGTTATTTAATCTTAAAGCAAATATTAATCCATATTTTGTATGTAGTTAGTATTTGTAAGGCATCCCTATAGACAAATGTGGTGATGCAAAATTTGCAGTGGGACTTTGTCTTGTACAGTCTCTGTCCTACAGACAGTGACTGACATAAACATCAACTTCCATTGACATGTCTCTGGTGATACTAGACTTTATTGTTTGCTTTTCCATACCTCATGTTTTCACCCCTCTCTTGTATTTTATGCTTGACAGGATATCATATTAACTACACATTCATTCCTCATTTATTCTCAAACTGGAAAATTTGTTCTATTTTCCAGGGAGACCTTGGCTATTGAACTTTTGAGTTTTGCAGTAAGAAATAGATTAGTATGATGATCAGACATATCTAATATAAAACTTTGTTTAAAGAATCTGTGAAGTTTGACATGACCAAAAAGAAATGATAAACTTTCTTGATGACAATTTGAAATCATTGGGTAGTGGCTACCTAATCCTTTTATGGAGTGCCTAATCCTTTTTTTTTTTTTGGAGTGCTGCTGGAATCTAAGCAAATTATTGTAACTGTGAAAAGCAGATAGTAGTAACACTTGTTTATATTTTGGAAGCAATCTACACATATAGTTATATCAACCTGCCTCCAGCACATATCAAAAGTATTATTCATCATTGTGCCATAAAAGGCCTAGAATGACTCAATAAGCCAAAGTTTCTTTGTTTTAACTGCCTATTCCTGATTGGGGCATGGAGAGACTGTCTGTTGCTGTACAGTGACATTGTATGACTCTGTTAAAATAGAGTGAACAGGAGAGTTCAGTATCTATCTCCTTTTTCATCCTATTATCTTCTTGTTCCCTCCTGATTCTCAATAATCTTAGATGAGGCATAGCTGGTAAGTCGGAGCCAGGCAGGGTGGGATGGAAGCTTGCTTGGGAGCAGTGAACTGGGCCTTCAAAGGATGTGACAGCAGAGAAGACAGGCAGAGGGAGATCAAATACTGAGCATTTGAGGCCCCTTGCTTCACAAATGTACAAAACAAAAACGCTGATATGCTACCTAGAGTAAAAGCCAAGCCAACAATGAAAAGGTAAAGTAATAAGGTGAGGAGAGATTGATGGACGCAGCAATAGCTCATCCTACATGTATATTTAATGTTGGTTGAAAGTGTGCATGGGAACTAATGAATTGCAGGCAAATGTATGTTATGTGCCCAGTAAAACTGAAAGGTTTAAATT